CGGAGGGGCTTGGGCTGGCGTCGTCTCTGCGCCCGAGTCTGGCCTGCTGAGGCAGTTGTTGGGCCCGAGGTGGTTTAGAGCCAGGGGGGAACGCCAAGAGAGCACATCCAAGAAGAACCATGCCTGCCAGGCACCGGCCCGCCAAGACTCCCAGCCCTCCTGTGGTGGGCCCTCGTTTTGAACAGAGCGCCTGTTGTATCCTCCGTCCCGCCCCCCCTCCTCTGTCATCCTTCGGCTCGCCCGTCTTGTGATACCGATACCCTGGACAGTAGTTGGCATCTTGAAGCGCCTCAGAGTAGTCAAGCATTAGGTGTAGCAGATCGGCGGGCAGTATACAGATCAAACACGTGTGTGAATAACATTTCAACTTGTTTGCCAGTGTGCATCCCAAACAGTGCATTCTTGTACCCTGGGTGTTAATGATAGGACCTATGTGGTGCAATTAGTTTCTGTTCGCAGTGAGTTGTCCACTCCACTGCTCGCGCAAACATCCCACCCACCCACCCGCAACTTGGTTTGCAAAATCTCTTAAGACCGTGACGGTGGGTACCAAATGGCACTTGGCAGCGACAGCGACGCCGACGACGACAGCGACAATGATGACGACGCCGCCGCCGACAACGACTACGACGACACCGACGACTTCTCCAACGACTTCGATGACGCCGACAACGACGACGACGACGACGACGACACCGACGACGACGACGACGCCGACGCCGACGACGACAACGACGATGACAACGACGACGACGATGACGACGCCGACGACGACGACAACGACGACACCGACGACGACGACGACGTCAACGACGACGACGACGACGACGACGGCGGTGGCGACGACGACGACGCCGACGTCGACAACGATGAAGACGACGACGACGACGCCGACGCCAACGACGTCGACGAAGACGACGACGACGTCGCCAACGAAGACGACGACGAGGGAGGAGGGAGGACGACGACCACGGCGACAACGACGACAACGACGACAACGACGAGGGAGGAGGGAGGACGGCGACGACGCGAACGACGAAGAAGGAGGAAGGACGGCGACGCCGACGACGACAACGACGAGGGAGGAGGGAAGACGACGACGACAACAACGACGACGACGACGACGGCGACGAAATAGGAGGGACGACGACGAGACGCCGACGACGGACGACGACGACGACGAGGGAGGAGGAGGAAGGACGACCACGGCGACAACGACGACGGAAACGACCACGACGCCAAAGAGGACGACGACGACGAACACGAGGAAAGACAGAGGACGACGTAGGCGACGACGACGACGACGCGGGAGGAGGGAGGACGGCGACGACGACGACGACGACGACGACGCAAGAGCGCGCGCGCGCGCTTTTGTTGAAACTCCGTGTTGCGAAACCTTGTGTTTTTGTATGTTTTTTGGACACACGATGTTGAAATCCTTTCGAAGACGATGGGTTTTGAAGGATTTCAGCATACGCGCGCGACGACGCGCGCGTCTGCACTTCGTCCCGTTTTTTTGCAGAGGATTCTCGCGACGGCACACGCGCAAGGGCGTTCGACAGATTTCGACATGCGCGCGCGAAGCCCGTTTGGTAGCATTTTGTGAGAATCTTGAAAAACCAATGGTTTTGTTTTGTTTTTTGTTTAGGTATGTATATATAGATACATACTTCAAGATTTCGCACGAGCTCGCGCGTAAGCTTTTTTAGCAAATCAGTATTACAGAACCCTGTGTTTTTGTATGTTTGTTGGAAGCTCGATTGCGAAATCCTTCCGGCACCGAAGGTTGTTGGAGGATTTCGGCATGCGCGCGCAACGACGCGCGCGTGTGCGTGTGCACTTCGTCTCATTTCTTGCAAGGGATTCGCGAAAAAGTGTTATGCTAGAACAAAAAATGTTCCCGCGTATCGTTTTTTCAAGGGAGCCTCAGTGGGAGCGATACCGGCCCACCTGAGATAGTGCAAATCCATATTTAGGATAGACATACGGTCATAATCATATAAGATTTACATACCCGAAAGGGAGACGGATAACGCCGAGGGGGGGGGGGGGAGAGTCTATTCTCTTTTTGAAAGGAGAATTGAGTTTGACCGCATCCGCACCTTACCACCTCCAATGCTCGTGCAAGCATCCCACCTGTCTTCCCGCAACTCAGCTGGGTGGCGGCAGCGACCATGACGATGACGATGCTGATGTTCATGACGACGGTGGGGACGATATTGACGACGACGACGATGGTGGTGATGATGAGGCCGATGGTCAAGTCAATGATTGTGGCAGCGATGACGCTGTCGATGACGATGATGATGATGTTGTTGTTGATGAGGATGATGGTGGTGGTGGTGCTGATGCTGATGATGGTGATGATGGTGATGATGATGATGACGATGATGACGATGACGATGGCGCTAGTGATAGCACGATTTCGATATGAGGTCACTCCACTCAGGGCCTGTGGCACAGTTCGGATTCCTTCGAAACTCTTGCGTCGGCACGACGCCATGTACTGCTTGCAGGCGCGACTCCGTGCTGTCAGACAAAGCCTCGCACCACGCAGGAACTTGATCACCGACATTATGCATTTCGATTCGGCAGCCCGCGCGTTGTCTGTACAGGAACGTTCTCCTATCTGTCCAGTGGTCGTCGCCCGGGATGTAGTTGCGGCCTTTTCTGAGCCTGGGGCACCGACGTTAGCGCGCCGCCCTTGCGAGGCTGTGTTTGCCTCAAGGCTTTCTGTACATCATGTTGGCCCTGGTCGGCGGCGAGCACGGGGGGGAAGT